CAAATAATTAGGGTGAACAAAAACTGCCTTTTTGTTCATGGTTTCAGTCTAAAATTGGCGCACAACCTTTTTTAGAATGGTATTCCCAATCTTTATTCTGTTTGTGTCCTCAGCTTTTTCTCTCCCTGCAGCTGATTCTGTCTAGCCTTTTTTCAACTCTTTCACTGATGTAAACCAGCACAAAGCTATATCCAGCAAAATCTTTGCTTTTCAAAGAGTCATGTGGCTGTGTTTTTGGTAAAACCTGCTGCTGTTTCAGCTACCTGATTTTCATTTAATCTTAAATGAAAGGCAGTGGTTGTTATCCATGAACAACTATGCCTTTTAGAATAAGAGGAACAGAAGAAAAATAGGGATGAAGGAACCCAGGAGGTCATCTAGTCATCCCCCCTTACTCCTCCCCCCTTTCTCCCTTTGCCATTTAAGGTAGGATTATTCCTGCCTGAACTATTCAAGACAAATGTTTGTCTGACCTGTACTTAAAAATCTTCTAATGATAGAGATTCCACAACTTCTCTATATAATCTGTTCCAGCACTCTAATCATTTTTGAAGAAAGATGCTAGACTATGGAATTTGTATGAAAGAGTAAAGTCAGCACTGAGGATTAATGTTCAAATATAATGTCTAAACAAAATAATGAACACTGAGTAGGACAAGCCATTATTTCTTAAATTTACTTTGAGGTGCAGAATATTTGCTACTTGATAGTTTTATTGTATTTTGAGTCTTTCAGAAATTTTTGTAGGTTTAGTTTCCCTGAAAAATTAATTTTCATATGCTTCTCCACAGCATGAGGAGACGCACATTTTGTATGTACTTGGGCTGAATTTTCAAAACTTGCAAATGATTATTGTTGAAGCCACAAATGGAGGACAAAGGATGTGGATTCCATAGAAAATATGGTCTGATGTTCTAGGTGCAGTTGTCTTTACTGCTCTGTAAAGGAAAAAAAAAATGTTAGCTCATTGCTGGGGAGGGTGTTAATTCAGTGAAATGAATTCCAAAATTCTGCTGGCTGTTTGTGTCAAGAGATGGTCCTTCTCAGATATATTTTTCAAGGCATGCTTTTGGAGACCCAAAAGCTTGGCTGTAAACGAAGTATTTTGATATGGGCAGAATCTTCTCTAGCAGAGATGCTAATATGCTCCTCTGCTGTGTTTGAAATACAGAACTGAAAGCAAATGGTTAAAGGTTTCCTTAAATGGGAATGTTCTTTGATTAGACTAGGACAGAAGTGCTAAATCTTTTTGGATTCAAGGTATCCCTCCAAAATTTGTGTGAATCAACAGCACCCAATTTCACAAACGAATTTGTTATTACAGTGCTTATCTCCCTGTAGAAGGGCCTGGGCAATAAGGGGTTAGGGGATTGGCCAGGCAGGGACAAGACTGGCACCTTGGTTGAGAATCGTGGGACTAGAATCGTGCCATGACAGTTATTTCAGGCCTTGATTAATTATAGTTAAATTTATTTCCATGCTGGTAAATGAATGGAGCTAGCATCTAAAGGAAGCTTATATAAGGACTGTTGAGAACATGATTTAATTGCTTAAGACTTATAAAAAAAAAAAAAAAGGTGGTGGGGTGGGGGAGAGGGATACTGCAGTATTATCTAGCTGGTTTCTCTCTTTACTGTTGTGTTTTATGAACTTTTCTACTATACAGTACTTGTGCCAAAATCTCTCTTTTTTTTTTAGAAAAGAGCTATTAAATCTTAGCTACTTAAACTTTTGATGCAAAGAATGCTAAATTTATTTCAAAATCCAGAGAAATGAATTTTCTTGCCATGAATAGTAAGGAACAGTTTCATTATCAATATGATCTGTTGATTTCAGTATAAAAACCAGGATCTAAAGAAATATAATTTGTCTCACAAGGTTTTCAAGATTATTCACTCAGCTAGACAGGTGACTGTGAATATTAAATACAATAGAAAGTGGCAAGGATCCATAGACATTTTCATATAAAGCAAAACCAATGGAATCTAACCCTGGCTGTGGTCTCTGGGCCAAATTGTTTTACCAGTTGGTAGAAAGGTAGAAATTGGCAGTAATTTTCATGTGTTTTTGGTTGTAGCCGTGTTGGTCTAAGGACATAGGCAGGCAAGGTTCCCTGAGTAGGTGTGAGATCTTTTATTAGACCAACTGAGTAGTTGGTAAAATGTTCTTAGCAAGCTTTTGGGTGCAGTCACCCATCTTCAGGCATAGGGAGTCTCTGCTAGTCTGAGTCTCCAAGGAAAGAGAAGCTAAAAGTATGGCAGGATGTCAGTGAGAATGTAAATAGGTAGAAATTAGAAAGAAAAAGGGTAAAGCAGGGAAGGGAGGGGGAAGAAAGCATGGGGCAGTAAAGGGAAACACTATGGGTCATTGGCAATGTGTAGGGGGTGCATGCGAGTATACAAGCACCATCTGAGATTGGTGGTGCACTCCCTAATAGAAGCACCAGTGGCGGTGCCCGCAGGTGGTCACTGCTCTCCACCACCGCTCCTTGCGGGCAGTCGCTGATTGCCACTGGCCGCTGTCGCTGATTGTCGACTGCCAGTTGGTGCTTGCTACCCCACTCCTTCACTGCCAGCACTGCTGTGACTGCCTGCAGGAGCTCCCCGCTTGCCACCACCACCCCATCACTGCTGCCGCAACCACTGCCGCTGCCTGTGGGTGGTTGCCGTGCCCCCACCCTCCACCCCCGCCAGCCTCTGGGGGCGTACATCATTCATGACAGAGGTAATAATACAATGTAAAAAAGATGATCTCAATGAAAAAGGAAATAGTTTGAAATCAGGAAGACAAACGGGCAGAAAAGGAGGGGAGGGGAGAAAAGGTGGGGGAAAAGAAGAATGTAAGGGTTCATGCCAGGCAGGTACCTGGTGAATCAGATGTCAGGCAGGATGTAGTGTGTCATAAAGCCAATGTCTATATTGAGTCTGTGACTTTGTATCAAGTAGATTTATGAAATGAAGTTCTGAGAATCGTCTATGAAAGGTGTTTTGTAAGTTCCGTTTGAGGATTAGAACTGAGAGATTGGAGAGGGAGTGATTGTCCTGTGAGAAGTGGGCCCCATAGGTAGTTGGGTATTTTTGTCTTTTGATAGATTTTCAGTGTACGTTCATTCTGGTGCACAATTGTTTGGTTCTTCGAGCATATTTTCTATCAGGGCATTTGGTGCACTGGATGAGATGTATATAACATTTCTGGAAGTGCAGGTGTAAGATCCAAGAATGGTGATGGTTCTGTTGTGGAATGTAGCTATAGAGAGGGTGGTGGAGATGTGTTGGCAGGTTTTGCATTTCTTCTTCTGGCATGGTTTGGATCCACTGGGTGTGGTTTGGATCATAAGTTTGCTTTTGGTGATGAGGTTAGTGAGGTTCGGTGCTTGTATAAAGGCGAGGATGGGTGGTTCTGAAAATGGGGTCGTCTTCTAGTAGACGTTTCAATTTTTTGAGGATTTTCTGTGTAGGTTCCAGGGAAGGGTGATATGTCATAACTAGTGGTGTGTGATTGGTGGGGATTTTCTTTTTGTATTGCAGCAAATCTTCATGTGTTATCCAGGTGGCTTTTTCAAAAGTCTGACCTGTCTCTCTGAATTGGTGTCCTTGTTGGCTGAAGGCCC